TTTTTTTTTTTTTTTTTGTCTATGAGCGAACGCACTATGAGCTGAGCTGCAACCATAAGATGCTGCCTCTGTCGAAACTTCAAAAAACTTCGCGGCTGACACTAATTGGTGTCAAGTATTCCACCGTAGGTAGATTTGACCCTTAGCTATGATGGGCTTCGCAGTGCGCATCTGTAGCTTCAGCCAGCGTTAGGAGGCAGAGGCGAAGGAAAGTATGTCCCCCTAGCGGCTACATCGGGACGGCGCCTCTCGTCAAGTATCTGACGGAGTAGAGTTTCTATCGCTCTCGTGCGTTCGTTGAGCTGATCGACGCTCTCATGTAGCAAGAGAACCCGGGCGTTTGTGACCTCTTGAGCTTGGTTTTTGTCTGGAGTGTGGTCCTCCAGAGCTTTCTTGCAACACTGCTTGATAACTCGAAGTAGGTCCTCCCAGGTTTGCTCGCTGTCTTGAGCGTGGTCTTCCAGAATTTGCTTGGAACACTGCTCGATGGCTCGAGGTAGGACACCTGGAGCTTGGTTGATGTCGCGAGCCCTGCCTTCCAGAGCTTGGTATATATCAGGAGCTTCAGGCTGTTGAACTGGTAGCTCAGGCTGCTGCATCACTTCCTCGAATAGAGCAACGAGTTCAGGCCAGTCATGAATCTTTTTTTCAGTATATGGTAAGTAAGGATTAGATATCGAAGAGGCATGGTATAATGTGACTTACATGCTGGCCATTGTTCATCAGCACAGCCGCTTCTTGCAGCCGGCACCCAGCTTCAACGGCATGGGGAGGGAGCTATACAGTCTGTCAACGCTGTTGCATTTTGTAAGATGGGAGCTCAAGCATACTGGGGGACAGCGCCGTCTGCCGATGGCACATTTGTAACAAGACCTGACAGCATTTGATGCTGAGTATCGACGTTAGCAAAAGGCTCCCTCACGAACGCGAAGGGTAAACGAACAATCCTGATGCAGGCAAAAGGACTCTGATCCCTCATTTACCATCTTGATGGCACATTCCAAGCAGGGTTCTCTAGCTGGATTGCCCGGTCCAGGGTTGCGTCTGGTTCTCTTCTTGGGAGGAGAATCGTAGTCACTGTCACTCTGTTCGAGCTCGTTAGGCCCAGACGGGAAGTAGCTGGCTTGCTGTGGAATACAGTTGGTTAGACCTGGGGGGACATATAGGTGATATAGCTCACAGATTGGCCTCGTTCAAACTCTTCATAGCGATAGGGGCTCATGCTGAAGATAGCCTGAGAGGTTACTTGGTCTTGTGTGAGATTGGTAACAGGTGAAGGCAAAGGTTTGGAGGAAAAAGGAAGAACGTCTATGAAGAAGCTAGAAATAAGTAAAGAACGCTCTTAGAGTAAGGGAAGAGCTAAGCGATTCTGATTCACTGATCTCTTGGTCAGTAATTTAGCAGTGCCGGAGTATGAATGGGGTTATATAGCTCCACTATAGGCACTCATTCTGAACTCTGCAATTTAGTAATAGCTGTCAAGTGAGAGAAAGATTAGCCAAAGATGTAGGAGCACAGAATTAGCTAGAACTCCAGACTAAATTCTTGATGCCTAAACAATCCAATGGTATCTCACCGAGATGTGTCCAAGTTCGTACCTTGAGCAATAGGCGAGGAGAAGTAGACGATGTTTTTGATATTGGTATTGATGGAAACTGAAAGGTTTATTCGAAGACGGGCAAGAAGTGATATGTTACTCTAGATTGTAGCAGATAGATGGTGATGCTAAATCACTTGGATAAAGTGCTTTGGTATGGAAGGAGTGAAGGATTGACTGGCCTGGCCGCGACTCCTTTCATCTGCCACATGCATCCGAGACAGATCTCAGTGCAGACCTCCAAGCCTCAAACACTCCGGAGCTACTCAGAAGACAGAATCTCCAAGCACCTGAGTTACCATCCTCCAGTCCGATCCGGATCGCTTCTTCGACAAAAGCTATCGTTCTGCCTATAACCACCATAGTCTCAACCATCGCATCCTGAAGCTTTGCCATAAGACCAGAAATGGTGGCCTGGTGCTCCATCAAAGCAGCTTCAAAGTCTCCAGCTGCTTCGAAACGTCGGACGCCTTCTTGGAAAAATCAATCAAAGCCGCCAGCCCCTTCAGCCGCTCTGTATAATTGTTGGGCTTCTCCATGAAAGCAATCTTAGCCTTCTGCTTCTTAGCAACCACTCCGCTTCAATATTGTAATTCTCCATGGAAATATCATTAAAAATCTTCTGCCGCTTCCCAAAAACGTCAGGCTTCTCAACTACATTGTCATCAGCAGTATAAGGCTTCTGAGTAGCAGAGGACTCCTCCCAAATCATGTTCGGATTCTTCATGACATTCTCATATCCCTTGAGCTTCTCTGTCTTGGTTTAATATTCTAGCCCTTGTTGTGCTAGGACTACTCGCTGATTTGCTAGACAAGAGATGTCCAAGAGTCGCCTTCTCAAGTCGACGCGAAACTTCAGGATTATGCACAAAAAAGATGGCCTCTGAAAGTCATTAACTTCAACTGAGTCCTCAATGGAAGCGGCGATACTTATATTGTCGTACTCCGATGCTATCGTGGTCGACGCTTTGCCTCGGGAACTGAGTATGTTCTTACAATAAACTATTGAGATTTACTTAGACCATATAGACTGGAATACGTACATACCCTCGTCTCATAATGAGAAATCGTAGATGGCCCGAATTGCATGTATTGGCAAACAGAAAGAATAAAACAGGCAGATGCTGACACATACTATGCAGTACGGTGGTTTCTCGTCTGTGACAGCAAATTGATGAACATTCACATATCAGTCATATCTAACTGCAACTTGATGCCAAATCTGCCCTCTCAAGTCAAGCAATACGAGTCGTGTGTTATTGCATAACGTGGGTATCCTAGCTAGCATTTGCGTTTACAAAGAAATCACATTGTTTGAGGCCTTAGCTTCCCGACGGACCTGATGCATCGCCCCTATTCATCCTCAAACTCTCCTCCATCGCCCTTTTTAGCTCCTCGTCGTTGTCGTCTCGCGTGTTTACCGAGGCCTTACCTTGAGCCATCTTCTTTCTGTACTCTTCCTCTGCCAAACTTTGCTTTTTGACATACTCCATCACAATATCTTCTTCTGTTCGCTGGCTGCTTTCCTTTTCCATGGCTTCTTTAGAAGCTGCTATCGCACGCTCAAAATCCTCATCGTTTTCCTCCCTAGGAGGCAGCGGTGGTGGAGACTGCTTTTTAGAGGCCTCAATGGCTTGCTGCAGCTCTTTGTCGTCGTGGTAGGTAGATCCTGCAGGTGGATTAGAGGCAGTGTCCGTTCCACCGGACGCTGACATCTTAGAATATTCAGGCAGAGCCACATCATTACCCAGACTCTGCTGAATCGCCTGCTCAACAAGGGCCTGGTACTCCTCATCAGTAATCCGGTACTCAGCATCTTTGAAAATGGATGAGTCCTTCAAAGGAAGTGGTGGGGCTTCGTCTGATTCGGACCTCTGGCGAACAGCATTGATACTTTCGCGCATAGCTGCTTCCACCTGAGCATCTTCTTCAGCATTGCCGCGCGATGTCTCTTGTATCGACGTCTGAATGGCCTTTTCAAACTCTTCATCCTCAGAAGATTGCGTTGGTGTGTTTGAGGCACCACTCGACTTCGATTGGGAAACTGAGGTGCCCGAATTCTTTCTCTCCCATGCTTCCTTGTCAGCATGTAACTTCTTCCGTTCCTCGAAAGACAGGTTCTTCGTATGTAGCCACCCTGTCCTAGGGCGCTCATGTACGGCCTCTGGGCTGTATTGTCGAGTTTCCTCTGGTTGCTTTCCTGCGACATTTTCCTTCTTCTTCCATCGGTAGAACTTATCTAAATCAGATGCGAAGTTGTGCCATCGTTGAACAACGTCATTCCTTTCCCCGGGAGTTGCCTCTTGCATCTCGTGCTGGCCCTGGACAGCTCGCGAAGAGATGATGTAGTTTTGAACACTCTTGGAAAAGTATCTGCTGATCTCAGCATCGAAACCCTGCATGGTGTAGGCCGGGATAGACCAAAAGCCTACGAATCTATTAGCAAAGCACAAACGTTCACTTTCCGATAGACTTACCGGCTGCTGGCTTTGCCACTATACCCCCGATGCCCTTGCCAAACCCTTTGATCAATCCCTGCATTCCCTCCTTCTCGGCACCTTTCAAAGGTTGTGTAACAAGGCCAGTTATGCCATCAAACACACCATAACCAAATTCCTTACCCGCCACCATGAATCCAGAGCCAACACCTGTCACTTTATCAACCGGTCGAACAGTTTCGTCATTGTAAAGTTTTGGCATATTCCTGAACCCTCTTGCTAGTCCAAGGCAGAAGTTCATGGGCGTCCTAGCACTGGTGGTGACTACACGGCCAACTCCTCTGCTTGTCCCAACAGCTGCATCCATGTAGTTGACCGGCGATCCACCTCGATCTTTGGCAGCATTGGCAGCTTGCTTCATGTGATCTTTCCAGGACTTTTGATTGGCAGATGCTTGAGTGTTCGGCTGATCGGGCGATGCCGGCCCAGATATACTTGATGCCGTATCGCTCAAGGTACGCTGTGATGCGTTAGAGTGGGATGCCGTTGGGGCTACTGAGTTTAGTGTTTCAGTATCTGCGAGGCTTGTTGCAGAAGTTGATTTCTGATCTGAAGTGATGCCCTGTGGTGTAGCCAGCGATGTCTCACTCTCTGTCGCAGGAGGGTTTGCAGTGTTCGGTGATGTTTTCTCCTTTTTTTTTGGGTTCGACATACTCTTGAAGAGCTCTCTGGGCATATCAGCTATGGCCATTCCGATGCCTCCAATATCAGTGACGAGCGAGAAAGCGCAAGCAGAAATCGGGTCCGGCGGCTGCTCCTCCGTTCTGTACTCCTTCATTCGATACAGCTTCAGATCGGACCATTGCAGTATGCCCTGTTCGACCAAAACGGCAGCGGCAAACGCACTGAGCCGTACTTGAGTCCTTCTTACACGCCATGCAGCGGCCTTGCTCGGCGCCAGAGTGCAACGCAGTTTATCCACCTCCAAATGATCGTGAAAGCTCTTGCCACCAACGTCTGTTCCTTTCTCTTCTCGAATTTTCTGGCCCATGACCTTGGCCTGCTCCAAGGTTTCAGGCTGGATGCAGAACTTAATGGCTTCGGCCAGTTTCTCTGCAGTTAATTGCTTATATGGAATCGGTTCAGGTCCTGCATTGGCTTTGGCTATCATAGCACCCCAGAATGGTTGATCTCCAAAGAAAGGGACCACAAGGGTAGGTTTTCCAGCCTTGATACCAGCAGCGGTAGTGCCAGCACCACCGTGATGTACCACGCAGGAGACATGTTCGAATAACCAGTCATGAGGAACATTTCCCAACATGAAAACTCCATCTGGTTTGCCAAGATCATCAGCACCAAGGCCACCCCAGCCTTTCGAGACCAAAGCTCTAACACCTGAAAGTCTGACTGCCTCAAAGATCATTTCGGTCATAGCATTGGGATCATCGACTACAATTGAACCGAAGCCAATGTAGACTGGAGGAGGACCATCGCGTAGGAAAGCTGCCAAGTCAGGGTCGGGAGTGAAAGACGAAGCTAGGTTGAGAAAGTAAAAACCAGAAACATCAATATGCCGTCCCCAATCGTTGGGCTTGGGAATCAAGGCCGGTGACCTATAATTCGTTAACGGTGGCCGTGGTGGTGGCTGAAGAGTACTCACCAGCAGTATGTCCAAGAGATTTTGAGTCTTGATAGAAGCCCAGGTGCCCAGATCATTGAGAGTGGAGGGAGGTCAAGCGCCTTCTTGCGAAACCTGTTGATGACATCTCCCAAGCCTTGCCATGTCATCATCTCTACCAGGGTATATGACATATAATTCGTCATCACATCGTCGGTATTGGACGATTGAATGTTGGCCAAAGGATGGGGAAAGGCTCGTGTCGGAGACCAAGGCATGCTAGTGATTGTCAGTGAATATGCTGACAAGAAGCGTTATAAGAAGATACTTACGTAAACATCATGTGTACAGGAATACCCATCTTTTCAGCAATATGAACATGGGCGAAGCTAGGGGGGTTTGCGATGATAGCATCGGCAACGAATGGTTCTTGTCCAGAGTTGCCTGATACCAACGAAATGTCCAAGGGCGCGTTGGAGGCATGAGGTTGGGGGGCCGGGCCGAGACCATCGCCACCTTCAATACATGATCGCCAACAGCCCATGAGAATCTCTTCAATACCTTTCCGTCGCTTACTTACTTCACCACTGGTGATGGCATCAAAACCGGGCATGAGACCGGGATGCTTGACCATGAAGGCCATCAGCTCAGCAGGATCTCCTCCGATACTAAAGAATTCGAGGCCATTTTCCTCAACAAAAGTCCGGAAGGTAGGATGAGTAGCTATTCGCACTCTGTGTCCATATGTATCTTTCAGAACCTTGGCTAAGGCGACAAACGGCTGGACATCACCTCGTGATCCGACGATCTGGACGACGACATTGAGTTTTGGTGGCGGAGTTTGTCCAGGTCTGCCTCCGAGACTGGGAGGAATATAGGCGGGAGGGAGGTCAGGACGTTCGGGCTCAGGGGCAAGTTGGTCTTGTAGAGTTGGCGCAAGGAGGTCGGCAAGCCTTCTGTTCTTGGCATTGATGTTGATATTGACTCGACCATCACCTGGAGTACAATGGTTAGTCTAAGCGCCAAGGCGCATTTATGTATAGAAGGATCATGGATTAAAGTTTACCTGTCACTTCTGCACCAGCATCAAAGCCGTTCTGTGAGAAATGAACCTGATCATGGTTCTCCCCGTATGGAGGCGGCGCTGCCTCGTTATCGCCGGTGTTGATATCTGGTAGTTGTAGGTCGTTGGAAGGTATAGTGGCGCCTGAGCTATCGCCATCGCGGGGTTGTTGCTGCCGACCCGCAGCAGCTTTATCGTCGACGATTCCGGCCATGGTTAGCGACTGAATCGCAGGTATTGTTAGATGAGATTTTTAGATTGCTTTGATCATGGGGTATAAGATCTCGAGGGGTCGTCGTGAAGATATAAAAGAATGAGATGTTGTAGAGTAGAGTTTCAAAGGGTCTTGTTAGTGGGGGAAGGAAGTTGAAACGAACGACGTCAGTGGGTACGAATCAGGAACACGACATGGATCTGGACCTGGAGCTCTAGACTAAGCCACAGTCAGCAACTCGGACTCGGATCCTCTAGTCTAAGTAACATAATTATTGGGTGTTACCCTTTTGGAACAATTATCGTCGGTCATTCAGTTCACTTACCACGACAGTCTCTCGGTCTTTTTCGCTGTGATTATGATACACTGCATATTGTAGAGGGCTTGTTCATTGGCAACGTAATGACTTGACGTGGCTCAATTGACATTACGAATTATCTTAACTATCCCGAGTCAACGGTTGTAGTACGTTAGAAAATCAACTAAAAAAAAAAAAAGATATACGTGGATCTATACCAACACTGAACAAATACGACGGAAATAAGATACTGATGAGCTGCTTATGCCTATGCCTATGCCTATGCCTTAGGCCCTTAGGTCCTAGGGCGCAACAACTCACTCTGGATGACACCCTTGTAACTCGGTCTTTATGATTGAAAACGACGACAGTAGCTACTAGCTACACATGTAGAGATACTGTAATTATTATTGTAGCCTGCTGATAATTGACTTTGCAATGGAGTGATAAGCCGTCCACGAAGCTTCTGAGCCTAGTCTCCACCATAGCTTCATGACTCCGCTAATCGAACAGCTTCCGATTCCTGTCAACGATACCTATACCGCTGGGCATTGTCCTATGCACATCTAGACAGAGCCTCCTTGGCTATTGTGTTACCCAGAATGCACTGCCACTCGATAGAGGAGATGTTGTGTCGTGATAGCAATGCGCTTAGTAACAACAAGACAACGTGGCCGAGTGGTTAAGGCGATGCCCTGCTATCTCTATGAGACATCATAGGCATTGTGTTCGCACGCGTAGGTTCGAATCCTGCCGTTGTCGATAAACCTTTTTGACCTTCTCTTTATGAGAGGGAATCCTTTTGGGAACTGTGGTGAGAGACTCCCGGCTCTCTGATTCGAGTGTGGCGCTTGATATACGTGGAGAACGCTGCAGATGAGACAGAAGACAATTACTAGTAGATTTTGAGTAAGAGATACTTAGGTACTTGGGGTGTTTTCAGGAGCAGCCAGCACCTTTTGATATTCTGTCTTGATACTGTTGGTAATGTGAGTTGCCTTGTGAGTTTGAGGTTGTTTACCTGTCTAATGAAGCTGCAAAGGACGACGCCAGAGCGCCACTTTTATTAATATAGAGTGGTAGGAAGAAAGAGAAACCAGAGAAGCTTAACTATGGTCATTTTTCTTTGTTACCAATTTTATGTCCCGGGCAATCTACAATTGCTGTGCTGATATGTCGATCTTGAACCTTAAGCTATAAAGCTTCCATGTCTTTAACAACACTAGCCGCAACCCAATCTGAGATCAACTTTAGGAGGCAAAGACAGGTACTACCTACCACCCCTGCAAAATAATAGCAATGGTGTATCCTACCTCCAGGGCTCCAGGTCATTTGTGGTTTTAAAAACTGAGGGGTATGTATAATCAAATATGAGCTCACTTTACCATCCGTAAGACAACGTGGCCGAGTGGTTAAGGCGATGCCCTGCTATCTCTTCGAGACATCATAGGCATTGTATTCGTACGCGTAGGTTCGAATCCTGCCGTTGTCG